CGACAGTAAATCAGGGAGTATTTGACTCCGGACTCCCGTTAATTTCGCACCCTGTCGTTGCGTTCTGACGGTGTTCACTGTTTCATGATGAAGTCGTCGCTGGACGCGGGTTCACCGAGTTTGAGCAAGGTGGCGCCACCGTTCATGCCGGCGCTCGACCTCACCATACTACACGAGCATGGAGACGGCAGCGGTAGGTAGTGTGTGTGTGTGTGCGTGTGTGCGTGTGCGTGCGTGCGTGCGTGCGTGCGTGCGTGCGTGTGTGTGAGCGTGCGTGCGTGCGCATGCACACGTGTATGTCCATGTGCGTGCGTGCATTGTATGTCTGTGTGTGTGTGTGCGTGCGTGCGTGGCTGCGTGCGTTGCCTGTGTGTGTGTGTGTACATGTGATAGGGACCTGCACAGTAGCATAGTGGGCGTTACTTAATAGGTCGTGGCTACGCGGTTACCGGACGCCCAGCTCCCAGGCTACGCGTGCGTTCATATATTTCTTGATTTTCGTTTATGGGAACCCAACTATATTTTTCCAGTAAAAACAATAAACAATAAATTTTTACCATAATATTACTTACCTTTAGGTATTTTATCAAAAAAAATGTGTTTTTGTAACTTTTGAAGCAATAGTAAATCCAGTAAAATCAACGATTTGAAAAGGGGCGTGGCCTAATCGTGACTATCAGCTTATCAAGCCTATCAGCATTGTAATAGACGCGTAGCCACTGCGTACTACTTTATAACTACTATACTTATATACTATACTAACTACTATAACTATAACTATACTAATAACAATAACTATAATAATATACTATAACTATACTAACTACTATACTATATACTATACTGTATAACCGTCTGTCATCTGTTGCAGATCCGATCCCCATGGATGGAAACACGGTGTCTCTGCGTGGCAGGTACATCTGTGCTGGTAACGACGCGGCCCTGGTGTCCCCACGCGCCACCCAGCTCGCATACGTAGAGTGAGTACTAGTCCACCCACGTACAGTTTATATTTAGATTAGATTTTAGATTAGATTTTAGATTTTTAGATTTTGAAATTTATTTACGCATTCAAGTATATTACATTGTTACATATATCACAAAAAGGTTTTGAAATAAATACAGCGAGGGAGGTCGAATTGACTATACAGTCTTCAAGTCAGCCACTCCGCAGACTACAGTTAGTTACTTAAAGTTGATTCAAGACTTGATAGATGAATGATGAATAGACTTGTTGATTCAAGACTTGATGATGAATGATGAATAGATTCGTAGATTTTATATTTTTAAATTTATTTACGCTTTCACGTATTACATGTCTCAACGATTTTGAAATAAATGCAGCGAGGGAGGGCTAGTTGACTGTGCAGTCTTCAAGTCAGCCACTTTGCAATATAAAGTTATTTACTGAAAGTTAATCCATGAATAACAATACGATTGAGAATTACAAAACTATATATGAGCGATGTATGAAAATAAATAAACTACATGCAAATAAACCTGAGTCAACATGAACCTGATGTCAGCAATACTAATAACATATGCAGGTCCCAAATATATAGACAACTAGAGCACTCGGAGAGCGCAGACCTCCGCCAAGGCAGCTCAATTCTCTCACTGTGAAAAATTTAATTAATTAATTAATTAATTAAATAATTAATTGGATCCGGATCACCACCAAAATGTAATCTATTCTAAGTTACCCCATTTCTGACCTATCCTGAA